TGAGGAGGTCCGCTCTAATGAGCGCGAGACCGATGGCAGTGATGCTATGGTATGAGTAACTTATCTATCTATCTATCCCTCACTCCCCCTGGCTCCGCGTGCCCTCTTCTCCACTTAACCTTCCTTTCCATTGCTCCCTGGCGCTTGCATCCCCTGCAATCTTCAAAGTCAAACTGAATATCTGCACGTGGCAGTGACTTGCTCAAGTCACTCTTGGTCACGGCGCCATCGGCCGCGCTCCCAGAGCCTTTGCTGGTCGAAACAAAGGCGCCACAGCCATGGACGGCTTCGCATGCGGGAGACAAGCAGCGCCACGATACATGCACATGCCGCCCAAGACACTCACCCCCACCCGCACAACGGCGACACACCCGTAAAGGGACATTCGTGACAGCCGCAGACGAACACACAACGAGCAAGACAAAAACGCCGGCCTCGCGGCGCCGCCGGCCCCTCTCCCACCCCGTCACGCCGCCGCCGCGTCGGCGCCGCCGCCGGCGGGCGCCCGCGCGACGTGCATGTCCAGGCATGAAAGCAGGTCTGATGGCCCGGCCGCGTCGAGCGTCGACACCAGGTGCTCTGCAGCGGTATCCATCTGCACCAACGCCTCCAAAGGCCCCTCAATCGCGCCGAGGAGTTTGGTATACACCTGTGGAAAGGGGCAGGTGAGGGGTAGGCAGGGTTGAGAGGGTCCCCGGGCCGCCTGGTGAGCTGCTCTGCCTGCTTTGCCGCGGGTCTCTTGCGACCGCCGCACCCTCGACCTCGGGCCCATGAAATGAGGCCATCCGCCGCTGCTGCAACAAAAGCCAACCCTCCGGCTGCTCCATTAGCTCAATCTTGAAGCAGGTCATGCGCCCGCCTGCGCGGCCTTGAAGCACCGCGCCGAGCCAACCGCCGCGCCTGTCCGTCTGACCCCCTTCTTGAAAGTGTTTTCAAGCCAGCCCCTTCAAAAAAGCCCCCGTCACATACAACAAGGTGCCTGTCGCTCTCACTGCACAATCCGCAGTCATTGCCTGCCCGGCTGTGAAACCACAACATCCAGCTTCCAGCCAGGAAAAACCTGTGTCATGCGCGCCGCGGCCGCGCTCGCACCCTCCTACTGAAAGCACCCGCCTACTGTAAACACACACATTGAACGCACCCTTGCCGCCCACGCCCACCTGCGTCTCATCCAGCCCGACCCACTCCTTCAAATGCCGCAGCTGGATGCTCTCTCGCCCGTAAAACGCCCCCAGCAGCACCAGCGGCTGGTCTGACGGCAGCGCGCTCCCCACGGCAAACGCCTGAGCCAGGTCCTTGTGCTGCAGCCGCCGCGGCGCCGCGGCCGCGGCTGCGCCGGCCGCCGCCGTGCCGCGCTGGGGACCGAACAGGCCTGATAGCAGCACCTCCATCCCGTCCCGCCGCGCGGCGCGGGCCGCCTCTGCCGCGTCCGCCCCCGCCTCGCCGCCGCCGGCTGCTGCGCCTGCTGTGTGTGTTGGCTGCGGCCCCGGGGGCGCGAAGCCTACCAGCAGGTTGCTCGCCTGGAACAGCCGCTGCAGCGCGGGCTCGCCCGCGCTGGACGCGACGGTGTTGCTCATCCGGCACATCTGCACGCGCAGGCCGCCGCCGGGCAGCGCGGCGTCGAGGCGCGCCTGCAGCTGCGCGGAAGCTGCCGCGACGTCGACGCTGCCGACGGTCTGGTAAACCAGGACCAACGGGCTGGATGTGAAAACTTCTTTGAGCTTGTGGGCGAAGATGTGATTGTGCAGCCCCTTAAGCATGGCTGCTGCTGCCCCGCTTGGGCGCCGCTGACCGAGCCGCCTGCCCGCCCTCCTGCCTGCCTGCCCGCCCGCCTGGCTGGCTGAGCGCCTGCCTGCTCGCCTTGCCTGCCAACCGGCCCGGATCGCCGCACGATTCGCAGCCACCCGGCAGCTGCTTCCACGCGGTTGCGCTCAGGTCCGCCTGCCGTGCGGGCCGCCTGTCTAGCGCTTGCGCTGCTGCTTGTGGCGCGGGTGGCTAATATTGATGGCAAAGCCGCCAGTCGCCTGCCCAATCGGTGCCGCCGGCTTGCTGGGCGTGCGGTGTGTCCGAATCTAGGGCCTCGAGCCGCCACCACTCGTGCCACAACTCCTCCTAATGTGGTGCGCAGCACAAAGCCAGAAAGCAAAGAGGGTGAAAGAGTGGTGGGTGGGAGGCGCGCTGCAGCTGGACCACAACGGCAGCAGCAAGCAGCAAGCAGCGCGCGGACAAAGCGCAGCAGCACCACCTCTGCTGCCTCCCAGCTTTGGCGGTTGGCACAGCTGAGACAGCTAGGTCACTGGATGGTTCACAGATTCATTGCTGAAACGCGCCCACTCACGTTGGCTTGCAGGGCTTGGACGGCAGGCGCGACGTCAGATCTGTCCCTCCACGATTTCGCGCATGCGATGACACCAAACGATGGAAATATCCTGGTTCTTGCAATCAGCACCTGTGCATGCCGAACTTACACAAGATCGCATGACTTCACCTGCTGCTGGCTGTCTGATGCTGCGCTGCTGAGCTTGTTGTGCCCCGCATGCCCCGATGCAAACTTGCTGCTTTGCTGTCTCGGAGTTGCGCATACTTCCAGGCATGCCCATATCATTCTGCTTGCGTGAAGCAAATGCGAACCTGCCCATGGACTGTTTCACTCTCGTGCATAGCATGCTCACACCCGCAGACCGGCCCTTCAATCGTTCGATTGGATGACACGCACGCCAAACCTTGCTGCGTACCATGGCTGTGTAGGTGTTTGATGTAACAGCCAGCCCCTCTGATTTTATTAGGAGTGCCCCAAGACACGCAGCAGGGATGGTGGTGCTGGTGCGGACGCTTGTGCAACGCTCGGCGGCATGCCCGGTTTTAAACGGCCCCTCCCATGCCCCTGCCTGCTGTAAACCCATACATCGTCTCGCCTTTTGGCCCGCGCATGATTCTTGGTGCCCTATAGGGCGGCGTCGTGGTGTTGGCCCGCACCACAGTGGGAACACGGGAATGAGTGGGGCCTTTCAATGCTACAGCCGTCCTCGTACACCTGAGACAAGCAAGAATGCTTAGTTACTCGAGAGGGATCCCTCATGCATTGGCATGGGCGCTTCGTTTCAGAGGCACAGCAGGACCAGGCGGCTTCAGGGCCAGCCACGGGCCGCGCCAGGTCAGCGGCCGCTGCCTGCCCGGCACCGCAATATTGCAGCGGCACCAGACGCACGTGCCATCGAAGGTGCACGGGATAGATGCATCGGCAGCCCTCAATGTGGGGGTTTAAAGAAAGGAGTGCTTGGGCTTGGCGATGGTGCTTTCGCACCCATGTGCCCGCTTCTAGCGGCGCCGGCGCGGCCACAGCACACAGCGTGCCTCGGGTGCGTCGAGCGCGCGCATGTGCACGCGGCGCCCCTCCTGCAAATGCCAACAGAGCAAAACCTGAACAGCGACACACGGCAGGCCCTGGGGCCCCACGGCGCCGCGGCCCGCCGCGTTGCGCGGGGCGGACTGCGGCTTGCGAGTTACAGGAGGCGCCGCGCCCGTCAGCGCCGGTCAAAGTGGGCGCGCCAGTCAACGTTGGCGGTCAAAGGCGGTCAAAGGGGGCTGAACGTGAGCACGACGAGGACCAGCAGCACGACCACCAGGAACACTATCACCGCCAGCTGCGTGGTGGTGCCGCTCTTTTTGATGACATCCAACACCTGGGAGTGGGGGGTGAGGTGGGTAGAAATCTAGAACGTCGGAGCGTTGCAAGAGTCCCCGGTCCCGGGATTGTGGCGCTGGCAGGGCAGATGGCGCTGTGCCGGACCCGGGCGGCGCATCCGTGGGGCCCTGCGCCGCCCCGCCGTAGGGGCGGGG